CAAAACCAGAATGCAGCTTTGATACAAGAAGAGACAGAACCTCGGCAGGCTTTCTCTTTCTGTTTGTTCCTCATCCAGGGCATGACCCTTTGTAAGATTTCTTCATGTGAGATGGGAAGTTCTGAGGTTTTCCTGGCCCTTGCTCCTGTAGGAAGCCCTTGGCAGGACGTGGGATTCACAGTGTATCAAAGAAATTAGAGGCTTGTATTTGAGTGCACATGATAACTTTATAAAAAAAAAGTTTCACAAAGTCAAAATCCTCCAGCTGAGACAGGTAATATTCTTTCAGAATCAAGAGTAATGGTTAGRCCCATAGTTTTTATCAGGGAGCTTAACATTATTTTTGTGAAAGACAAACCTCTAGTGCCAATACAAACTCACCAAGAGCCACTTCACATTCCTTTTACTCTCCAAACAAGATACTTTCTCCTAACTTATTCAACTAAGTTAAAAAAATATATATATCAACTCCTGCTGAGAAGAGAAAAATGATGTTGACATGATAAAATTATGTTTTGGGTTAGGCACTGACGTTATTGTTAAGATACTTTCCTCAAATTCTAGCCAAGTAAGGAGACAAGRCTTTCCTTAGTGCTCACTGATATGGTTAAAAATTGCCATTCAAATTAGATTGCAAATAACCTTCAACAGTGTCTACTCRTAACATTTTAGGTCTTCCTTAAGATCACAAATTTAAGAGAAAGGGAACTAAGTCTGTCTGTGTATGATAGAAAATTGATAGAAATGTATCAGCATATGGCGAGGATAGCAAGTAAGGCATCAAGGAAGGAAAGGAAGAGAGAGCTTTAGTGTAAAACGATGCATAGAAGGAGACTTCAGAAGCTGAGGAAGAGAACTTGTTGTGTCCTGTTTTTTGTGTTTAAAAAACTGTGACACATATCTSTACTACTTCCAAAAAAACCCAAGATTGTACAAAACAAAGTCCTAGTTAAATTACCTGTTTCTTTTCCAAAGAGAAACAATTMGGAAGAAGCTAAAAATTGTCTAAATGGTTATAACAAGTGGGACAGGCATATGCTGTCTTACAGGTGTTTTGGCCAGRGAAGTAGATGCAAACACATTGAGTCTGTGAGCATAGTCTGTGACTAAATGGATGCCTGTTCCTCTTGCACATTACCTTCTGGTATGAGATGCTGGGATGAAGGATCCTTCTTGACATCTTTGCCTAATATTAGCCTGGAAATCCTGTTGCACGGCAGCCCAACGTGGTGATGTGAGCTAGGAACCTAAATTCCCTAAAGCCAGTTCAAGTCTACTCAGAACTGCCAACTAGAGAGCTAGGCAGTTGACTAAAGCAGGTCGTTTTCTTTCAGTCAACCTTGAGACCCTGTTTTCTGTGTTGCAGACACCTATATGGAGGTAGGTATTTTAATATGGAGCCTCTTTGGCTCAGTTCAGTTGGCATCTGGYGCTACTTGAAATGCCTCTGAGTATCCAACTGCCCTCCAGAAAGATACAGATCATCCTTACATTTTATGTGAAGGTCTGGGACACCAAAGAACATCCCAAATGGCCCTGCATGCCTATGTACGGCCGTTGAAGGAATATGGAATTGAGTCTCTTCTGTATAAACTGCTTGGAAGAGAAAGCTGTGAACTTGGAGCATTGCTCAAAAGGCAGTAAACATGTAATGCATATGTTGCACTTATATTAAATGCCTTTTAAAAATACTTAGATACCATATGTCTATGTGGAAAAGATGTTCTAGAAGCAAAAAAAAATCCATAATCAAAGTTTAATGTGAAAAAACCCCAGAAACTGGCTAGAATTCATTTAAATGCATATTTTTTCTTTACATTCCCATTACTATGAGAAGCTCCCATTACTGTGGATTTCTGGCTGGAGATACTAAAGAAAAACTTTACTTGATTTTTGCTAAAGATTATAAAAAAACCCAGTAAACTTACCAAACTTAACAAAAACTTACCAAACTTACCGAAACTTACCAAAAACCAGTAAACTTACCAAAACCTTTAGCTTAATGCTATTTATGCAGAAAGACTAGGTCACTGATCTAAACCTCTTCCCAGCCTCGTTTGCCCATGCACGGTTTTCATGTACCCATACGGCCCACGGACATTGATAGGAGCAGAAGTCACCTGTGTCCTTTCCATATCCAGCTGTACTCCTGAGCTCATGAGGCACTTGAAAACTATTATTAACTACATTAAATAAGACTGTACTGTGTTTCAAAATACATTGCTTTCTCTGGGAAAGAAGGCTTTGATATTATAGCTTATATAATTTGTAAAATATGTGACATTTTTTCTGAGTCATTTCTGCTGCWCACCATAAATGCTCAGTAATAAAGCATCGTACTGGCATGAGAATATGTATACAGGCAGTATATCTCAGGGACCTTGAATTTTCCATGCTTTACTTTCCTATTTTAACAAGTTGTTTCCTATTTATTTCCTACATGGATCATCCAAATGAAAGTTCACTGTGATAGGAATCTTTTCTCTTGACAATTTTATGCAAAGCTGTGTAATTTATATGGGAAAATGTACCAGTCTGGTAAAGCTGTATTAACTAATGGCTTGTGTTAGCCACAGTCATGTGAACTTGAATATTCTGTGAGCAAAAGAGTTTTATAAAGTGTAGTGAAGATGTTCGTTGTAGAGCAGCAAGGCCGTACTAGGTGTACCCCTGGATTCTTTTCTGGTGGCTCCTTTTGAATTTGAGATTATAGTAAATTTTGCTGAGAATTTTAAAAATGTAGAACGTGGCCAGTAGTTTCCAGTGGATTATAATGCCTTATAGTGAACACTTGTATTTAGGTTTAGTCGTTGACAAAAATATGTTGCTCCTCAGAAACAGAGAGGAACTGGAATCAGGGAGAACGATCAGCTTAGACTATTCTGCTTGTAAAGCTTATTTAAGCTCTCCTTTCTTAGGTGCCAAATTACAGGGAACCAAACTACAACTCTATAGTCAGATTCTGGATTTTTGGGTACAGCTGTTGTGTAGATGACAGAAAATAAATTCTGGGAAAAAAMCAGTATAGGTTCATCTCCTTTAGCTTCACATCCTGTAGAGTTGAAGCATTGTGTGTAGTGTCGTGAGGTGAATTTTCCACATTTATTGGGACTCATTTCTAAATTTTTTTTTATTTATTTATTTTTACAAATTTTATAAAATGATCAATATTATGTAGTCTGGGGCTCTTGCTGTCTTCTAGGTATCTCTAAATGTATACATACWTAGATAGAAAAGGTTATATTTTTATGAACTCGCTTATGCTTCAACTCAGTTCTCCTGAAGCCAGTTTTTGAAGACAGAGGCAAAGAGTGCTGAAAGCTGGAGGTATCCTTTAGCTCTCTAGAAAACAATATTTCTTTTCCCTTCACAAGATATCCACGGTTTTATTCATAATATAGACAAAATGTTAACTCTCATGAGAATGGAGGAGGTTTGGTGAGAATTTCCCAATTTGAAAACTGCCTTCTCTTGAACACCTACCACGTTGTAAAGCTGGCTCACTTATTTCTTAGAAAATATKAAGGAAACAGAGCTTCCAAATCATTTCATGGAGTCCTATTTTTATGAAATCAAAAGGTATGTAATATACGAAAATACTTCTGAAAAGTATTAGGGATTAAGTTCAAAGTGACTATTTAAAAGGAAAAGCTGTATATTCAGTAGAAATTCTTTAAAATGAAAATGAGACTTCATTTTGCATATGTAAGTCATTAACTAGAATAAAATGAAGAAATATATTACTTATTGTACATAATATCCTGCTAAGGAGATTATAATTTGTTTTCCAAAGCATGTATTAGCTTTCTGTACCTCAGTATTAGGTGGGGGTATCTGTTCCTCCTCCAGGTAAGATTTGCTAGGTAGTTGTTCAGATTAGATGTGTTAATTATGTTTCACWAACTTAGTGCTGTGGCTTCAGGGCAAGAAGCTGAGCAATGTTAGAGCAGGAGCTGTAATAACGAGATGGAAACATGTCAGCCGTGGTGCATGCCAAGATGAGCAGAACTCGATTGCATTGGAATTCTGTTGGATTTGAAATTTTAGAGGAAAGTCAACCTCTGTCGTGCACACAATACCGAAATACTAAGTAACCTGTAATAACAGTACGATAAACCAAAAGGGAATGTAATAGCACCAGAATATCTAGGCATGAATTACAATGTAKAATATCCAGATCAGTGAGAACATTTTATTAAAATACAGGAATCAATCTCCAGTTCCATGCYCTGCAACATTAGCAATGGAGGCTTTTTATTCCAAACCATGGATGCATTTCTTCCTACCAACCCTCTGCCACAGAGTCAAAAATAAAAGTTTGCAAACACGTTTTTTCCCAGTTATGAGGCCCTTATTCTAACTGGAGTTCTGCCTGGTATATAAACAGTCGATATTTCTATGGRATTTTCTGAGAAAGTTAATGTGCTTTGTATTGTAAAAATATTTAGTATTTTTTCCTTAACAATCTGTCGTATTTTAGCAGACCATTTAAACATCTCTAAAACAGCTACGGGACAGGTCGAGAGCTCCCCTGTTGTTGAAGTATGTTAGTGATTAGGAAAGTACTGATGTATTGGAAGCGCAAAGAAATCTATATTTCTTAAGGCAAAACTGCTTCTTTAGATTACAATTCAGACCCATTCTACATTCAGTTCTTTCCTTTCAGTTACACCCGAAATACTGGTTGTTTCCTTTGATTTACTTTAATGCAGGCGACTTTAGGGAAGCGGTTACATCGGGATCAGCTGGGTTGATCTGGATCATGCTCTGCGCTGATGATACCGCACGCAGACCCTCCCTGCCCCCTCGCTGCATTTCCCGCTCCGTGTGTTCTGTTCTCCTTGGAGCCTGCGTTTCTGGGGGCCACATTTGGCAAGGCAGGCRTAAAGGTTGCGGATCAGCTAGGAAAAGCAGAAGCCTTTGCAATTTTACTGTGTCTTTGTCTGTCCTTTCTTTCCCCTTTCCTTTACTGCACTATCTTGTCTGTCTGATTCTCGCAGGAGACATGGATTACAACTGGGTGGACCATACGTCTTGGCATAGCAGTGAGGCCTCCCCAATGTCTTTGGTGAGACATGTGGAGCCTTACCACTTAGTTCCCTTTATCATTTCACATTTCCTTTGTTTTATTTACGCCTTTGCATGTTTTCTTTTTTTGTATCCTTTTTTTATCCCGCACCTATAGGGGACAGTCAAAGGGGAAAAAGAAAAACTAGTGAGCAGGCAGTTTGGTCGGATTCTAACACCTTCTCTGAGAGACAAAAGAAAATGGTTTGCTTTGGTGGCCACTCTTTGGAAGAGGACTTGGAATGGTCTGAGCCTCAGATTAAAGACTCTGGGGTAGATACGTGTAGTAGCACAACCCTAAACGAGGAGCATAGCCATAGCGAGAAGGTACTGAGATTATGGAGCCTGCCTTTTAACCTGCTCATTTGGTCTTTGTTTGCTCTCTGTCACTCATTAAAATGGTGCATACAATAAGAGAGAGGGTGTTTCTAGAGAAAATGTAGCATTTCCTAAGGTGCAGAAAAGAAAAACAAATGACGAGTCTCTGCATGCTTGCAGCTTGCTTCCGTTTGGCAGTCGAATACCAAAAAAACCCCAAAAACCCAAAATATTGAGGCAAAAAGGAATGCTGTTTTGGTTCCGTAAAAGTGTATCATGGTATTATCCTCATGTATAATGTGATTAACTATAAGGATTTTGCTGATTGGCTTATTTGATTTGCTGCATCTGAACTCCTGGGGCTGAAATTAAATGAATAGTTTAAATCCCAGGTGAAAAGGGGAGAAAATTGGGTCGCTCTCTGCACAGAAAAGTTGTTTTTCTTTTTTCCCTTTCACTGTCATGGTTGTTCTTTTGTTTTGTTGCCATGCCATTTTTGTGTAGTATTGTGCAGAATCGCAGTCTTTGCCATCTGCTTTGGTGCTTGTTATTTTTGCTTTTGGTTTGGTGGGGATTATGGCAAATCTTTTTAGACTTATTAGTTGTAATGAGAGGGGATTTGCCTCTGCCTGCTAATATTGCATGAAATAGAGCATGAAAGTGGTGTTTGTTTGTGAAAAAAAGTGCTATGATTACACAAAATGAATAACATTACTATATAAAACTTTATTAATTATGTTTTGCCAGCATACRACAGTATATATAACCATGCCCACATAGAGAAATTAAGTAAAAAAAATCACTCAGTGCAAAATATGTGCAATAATCATTCTGAGAAGCATTATATTCAAATGTAGGGGGATGATTATAGCTTTTAATATAGTCTAACTTTAATATTTGGGCTACTGAAAGTAACACATTGAAAAAAGTCTTCAATCCCACTCAGAGAAAACTTATGTGGTTGGAATAGAGGAAAAAGAACAAGCTTCTGCTGTCATATATCCAATTTCTGATTTAAGTTAAATTATTTTATTTATATTATTTTTCAGTATTACCCTTCTACTAGGCTTAACATTTATTTTTAACATTACAGTCTGGTGTGACTGTCATTGTTCACGCATAACTGTTCATAGTTTTCTATATCTATTCAACTACCAAGATGGCATAGATATTTACAAATTCAGTTTAGTRAAGTTGATAATATTTTAAAATCTTAGAAGTACTTTGTGATGGATTGCGTGTCCAAATACATCTTTTTCAGGACTTACTTTCTGTCCTTATATTTGATTAAATACTAGTGTAATCATAGTACTTCCATTGTGTTTTAAAGATATATCAGAAAATTCAAAATATTGCTGAAATATTATTGTTTAAAGTCCTATTCACTTTATTTTCCATTAAATCCGTATGATAGCATCCAGTAACCTGGCAGCCATCCAAAGATGGAGACCGTCTCATTGGTCGCATTTTGTTAAACAAACGACTAAAAGATGGCAGTGTGCCCAGAGACTCGGGAGCAATGCTTGGATTGAAGGTTAGTACCGTGCCAGTTTGAAAGTGCCTGCACATTGCTCTCAGCTGCAGTAGATGCATTTAYAACATAGGTATACTCAAAATACACACTGTATTTACAGCTGTATCTGTAATGTCATCTCATAGAAGTAAGTTATAAAGGCATCTTATATTCGTCTACCCAAAGTAATTTGGTGGGATCCCTGAARGGCTCAAAAAATTCCACTTCACAACAGAACCAGAGGTGTTTTCACCATGTTTGCTGAAAACATCTGCTCCGTAGGTTGTTTGACTGCATCCTAGTTGGGCAGCCCAAGCTCTGCCCACTTCCTTCAGGACTGGCGTCATGTGCAGAATAACTTATGTTCCCAGAAGAGAGGAGAAATGTGAAAAGCACATAGCCTTTTGTGMAGATATGGGAGCCAAATGGAACCTGATACCTGTATCTGGAGCAGAGATCCAGATCCACTGGAAAAGCACTGTCTCTTGATTTTTTTTTACCCCTCAGATTGATTTATTATATTTTAAACACACAAGACTGAAAATGATTTAAGATTTATATATTGTATRCTAAATATTTTTTATTATGTATGCTTGAAATTGAGTTTGCATCTTTTTCATGGTACAGTAGTCTTCCAACACCTACCGTGTGCCTGGCTCACATTATAATAATCTCATTTTTATGTGATATCATTATTTAAAACAATGAGAATGAACTATACCTGATTAAAAACAARCAAACAAGCAGGTGTTTATTTTGAATCAACTTCTGTATTGTGGCAAGTGATAGAAAGTTTGATCAGTATTCTCTATTTAACATGACACTGGCTTCAGTTTARGTACGCAGATTAGGATATGCAATCAATGCAATTAATTACAAATATACTGATCTGCTTTGGAAATTTTTGAATTTTAACTGGTGAATAATTACATTTTAAGCTCGGTGGACAAGTCAATTGTGCATGGCTTTTGGTATGTATATTATTGTCTTCCTGTCAGAAAATGCAAAAGAAGTAACTGCTAGTGCCACTATTACTTATTATTATGTTCAAATATTTTATATTCWGTTATAAGGATGAACTGTTTATTAATGTTCATGAATAGTATAGATTCAAGATAACCACTTTGTAACCTCAGTAGAYTTCTGAAAGAATGATTTTCGAGAGCTTTTTCCCTGACCTGATTTTTAAAAAGTTTACGCAATTGAAAGTAGCATAACTGAATTTGATATTACARTCTTTCATCCACAATATGAAGACAAGTATCCATGCATGTGACAAGTATTCTCATCAAACTTGCCCAACCAAAGTGGATTTGATTAATTGATAGAGACATTTGCTACCTCGTATAAARCCTTCTGCATAGTAATCTGATTTTGTAGGTTGCCTTAAAAGTGCTGTCTTCAGAAAAAATGATGCAAACAGAAAATGAAATTTTTAGCATAAATCCTATAGTTGTGCAAGCAAGATTTCCAAAAACATTTAAATAAACAAAATGAGTATCTTCATATAGATTTTTTTTCATCTAACAGGCTACTGTTATAAAGGACTAAAAAGCAAAGCACTGATTGTGTTTCTTTTCCCTATTTTTTTTTTTTTTTTTTTTAGGTTAAATAGCTTCAGAATAGTACATTTGAGCTTGACAACACTGACTTTTGTACCCTTTGCCTACAGTAACATGTATAATTAACATAAATCTTCTCCTCCCATACCTTCATCCAAATGCCATTGGTAGCAGTCAGGGCTATGTGAATGCCATGAGTTCTGTTACAYGAATATATCTGTTTCATGGTAAATGCATTGAAGCAAGCAGGCTAATGTCCATTTGCTTCTTATTCTTTGTTAATTATAATACTGTGAAATAGTGAAAGAATGCATGGTGAAGTTTCAAAGCTTTAGCATTCTGTATTTCCTTTGTGCTTAAATTATATAAATATCTGGAAAGTTATAAAAGTAGTCTGGCACAGCCAGTATTCTGTGAAATTTTGTCAAGTGCATCTACCTTACCTAGGCTACCTCAAAAACAAAGAAATTATCTGACTTTTTTTTCTGTTTCCAGAAAATTTCAGGTTTTTAAAGTAAATCTCATACTGTGAAAATAATTCCTCTTTGAAACAGGTAGTAGGAGGAAAGATGACTGAATCGGGTCGACTTTGTGCATTTATCACCAAAGTTAAAAAAGGAAGTTTAGCTGATACAGTGGGGCATCTAAGACCAGGTATGTATCTGTGCTAATGAGTTGCCTTTGTAAAGGTGGTAACAAAAGAATGGATTTATTAGAAGTCAGATTATATAAAATAAATGCTGGGAGCTGCTGCAGAATTTAACCATGACATAGGTACTTGGCTATCTGCATTACTTCTTTTATGAAATGCATAAAATCTAATGTTTTTTGAAATCACATTTCTTTATTTTCATTCATGTTTTCATGCACTCAAAATCACACATTCCACTGATGTCCTGCCCACTTAATTTATGATATATATTTTTATTTAGACTGATATAAGAACCAGTTCAGCAAAGAAACTTTTTAAGTTCAATTTCTTTTCCACACAAAACATGGATTGCTACATTGGAGAATATGCAAGAAATATTGTGTTAATGTAAGAACTATCAAAAACCTAAATAAAAACTTTTACATGGAAATGGGTCTTCAAAATAGTAAGTTGATGAGATAAACTGTTTTAAAGATCTGCATCTTCTGAAGAGCTTCATTTTTTTTTAAGCCACCACTAGAAATGCAAGTAAGAGGTATGTCTAATTTAATAGGGATCGTGATGATAATGTTATTATTTTGCTGATCTTTATCCAGTCAAGCTGAGCTGCAGAGAAGTATTAATTTTCCAATATTTAACACTCCAAGCTTGTTCTACAGCACAGGTTTCCCAATTCAATAAACTTGCAGTACTGTTGCTTAAATTGTCATTGTAAAAAACAGTTCACAGCAGACTTCCTCAGCAGAATATTGTTACTGAAATTGTAGGAGATGAAGTACTAGAATGGAATGGACGGCTACTACAAGGAGCCACCTTTGAGGAGGTGTATAACATCATTTTAGAATCCAAACCTGAGCCACAGGTGGAGCTTGTAGTTTCAAGGCCAATAGGGTAAGTAACCTTGTAAATTTTAATATTAATCTGAAACAGGTGTCACTAAATTTCATTTTGGTAAAGAACGTTTGTAAAGAAAAATGTATGCAAAATTCTATAAAGCATAAACGTCACTAGAATGATAGACCTTCATGATAGATCAGTTGTTGTCCCAGCCCATAGTGGTTCTGAAACTGTGGTTATGCACTTTATCATCAAAATCCTTCATTATTAACTTCATTCTTGATCCTCACTTCTTCACATCACTTTTATATAATCTATTTTATGTTCATACTTGGGGCAGTGAACTTACAATGAACTCTGTAATAGTCTGCAATGTAGAATTTTGGCCAAAATGCAGAATGTTAATAACATAATCAATGTGCTTGGGGGACAGGGTTGAATCCAAGTTTTCATCCGTTTCATCTATGAGGACATTATCTGTTAAATTATTGCTTGGTATGTAATAAGAACATGTCCAAGTGAATCACTCATAGTAGTGCTGGCCTCAACTGTCCAGCACTTTTTGTTTTGGGGTACTTTGCACTGTCTGCTTTTGCTTGACTTTCTGACCTAGCTCTTCATATGTAAGCTTGAATTTTTCTTGCTTAGCTGTAGAGCAGTTCTGCTTGTTCTGCTTGCTTTGTTATCTAGACTGAATAATTCCCCTTCTTTCTCCATGCTTCAAGTTCCTACTGTCTGCGATCATGTCCTCCTTTTATTTTTCCACTTGAAGTTCCATAGGCTATTGTAGCAGGGCTGTGAAAAGGGATGCTTATCACTGAATTTGATTTATCATTATGGAAGATAATTTTGTGCATAAGGCTTTTGTTTATAGCAACTGTGGCTTAGTGTTGTTCATAGTATAATTAGTATGTAATTTATATATAATAATCTAATCCATGTGGGTGCGATGTTTTTATTATTACACGTARTTACATATTAAAATAGATTTATCCCTTTCCTTTTTCTCCAGAAACACACACAAAACCATACAATTATCATTACTTCATACCAAAAAGCACAAATAACTTAAGAACTGAAAATAGGAAATGCTAACAAAAAATCTAGAAACATCTCATCTGAAATTGAAAGTTCGTTGAGGATAATTTGTTACAGGTTCAGTTTCAAGATATAATTGAGTATATTTAGCTTGAAGAAGACATTTTTAGGGCATAAGGTGGTTTGACAATTTTAGCCTGATACTTGGTAATAAAAATTACTTTTATCTTGTCGGTGAGGTGAGAGGTTCTCTCTTACATACATACTGAATTGCCAGCCCTTTGGGGCGAGAGCTTCTTTTATCCTGTCCACAAAAACTTTGGCAGAGCTTGGGAGTTATCAGTAAATGGTAAAGCTAAGGGGCAGACCACGGCGCCAAGAGAACATTCTCGCAGAAGGGGTTTCATGTACCTTCCATACGCGTGTGAGATCTTTGCTTCTCTTAAATAGCAATTTGTAGCAAAAGCTCCCATATTGAAAATAACTATTCTTAAAATGGGGACATAAATGGGTTTATATCTGAAGCCTCAGCGATAAATACCTTCTAGAGATATTATTCAGACTTTGAATGAATATTTATTTTAATGATCTCCAGGTTGGTGAGATTTTACGTTCTTATCAGATGATAGATGTGGCTCCTTGGAGACTGATAAAAAATTACAACCTCGGAAGTGTTTTTCATGAGATTTCAGCTGATGAGCTGGTAATACAGTATCTTCTTCTCAGTTTAGGAGACTACTTGTCATAATCAAATGGGTATAGAAATGAACATCTTCCACTTGCCCAAGGGAACAAAGCCATATGTCTGTGTTGTGCCCCGGGAATAAAATAATCATCACTTCAGACCTTTGGTTAATCTGAACTTTCAGTAATTTTAAATAATTGAAACTTWATTCCCTGGAGCACTTTCACATTGAGATATATCCTATTAATTAAGACAGGAGAGTCTGGTGATGGTCTCATGGTAGTGCATTAACTCATGCCAGAAATCTTGAGGCAGTCAGAGACTGGCAGTAAGCTTAGTTGAGAGAACCTGTTGTCTCATTGGGATACTCTGAATGCAAAGACCAATCCTAGTAAACACTAGAGTTAATTCTCCTTTGTTATAGTGTGGGCTGAATGTTAAGAAAAATGAAGATGCCAAACTAAGCTGATGAAGATGAAATGGAAGGATGTTTTAAAAAATGATGTCATCTCTGCATGTAGTTTTTTTCTTTTTTACTATCTTACAAGTAAAAACAATAATCAAWTTGCTATTCTGAGACATTGGCTATCTCTTGCATGCAATATTTTTTCCATATTCATCTTTCTAATTCTCAGAAATACATATTTTAAAATGACATTTTATTTTCTTAGTTACCTACTATTTTGATTTTAGAAGGCATGATGTACTATGTTGTATTAATTAATCTGCCAAATATGCTTTTAATGAAACATATCCAAAAATGTCAAGGGATGCTAAAAGTACTTGCCAAAACCCTCTCTCTCTCTCTCTCCATGCCAATTCAAGATTTCTGTAGCTGTTTCTTCTATGTCTATTGGTCTCTTAAATAAGAGTTCCTTGTAAGTAATACCATTCAAAATGTTGTGAAATTGGTGTATGAATGTTTCAGGAAAAGAAATGATAGTGTTCAAAGCTTTCCAGTTTTTTGTTTCAGTCATCTCCAGAAAACTCTTATTCCATCTGCTCACAAAGGTACCTATTTTCAAGGTTTTCTTCTCAGGCTCACACACTAGAAATAATTTTAAATTAAAGGCTAGTTTCTAGAGTGTATAYCTGAGTGAAGTGATAGGCAAGTACTGGGGTTCCTTTACAAATTCTACAACTATTCCTTATGCAAACCTAAGTATTTCCTTTCCAGTGGCACAAGGTTCTGACTTGCTTTGCTTGCCAGCATCCAAGACAGGGCCACAGAGTGGGCAGCTCTGCCCATTGCCTGGCTTTTCCTCCATTCAAACTGTTGGGTCCTGCAGCACCAGGTCACTTGGTGAATTGAATTCCTGAATAGTGAAGGTCTTTTTCTAGTGGCTGTTGAGAAATGTTTGGAAAGGATGTACCAGAAAGGAACTCGGTAAGTTTTATTTTTGTTTAGGGCCAACTTTCTTTCATTGTATCAAGTAGTGAGTATTATTCAAAGTTTTTTTTTTTTAACATTCCCTTCTTAATCCTTCAAAAACCCAAATCTGCTGGAACACACAATACCTGAAAGTCATCATCTTGCCTTGTTCTGCCCAAGTACCTCCAAAATGTTTCTATTATCATATTTTTCCCACTCAGGGGAAGAATAGGTCCTTTGTCTGCGGGCATAGTGAAGTACTTAGTCATTGCAGCTGGAGTTCTAAAATTACAAAGCTCTGTATGCCACTTAATAGAGGTATTTCAACATCTCGTGTATCTGCAAATACRTATTTTTGCCAAATGAAGTTTTACAGCTGATCCTCCCATAGGCAAGGTAAGGTCTTCCAAATGTGGAGTTCAAGGATGAGTAGAGGACATAGTGGGATAGCCACTGCTTAGGGCCCAGTGTGTTTGAGTGTCTAGTAAATTTAAATCATTTATAATGTTGTAATAAAGTTTGCTACTCACAGTTTCAGTCTGTAATTGATTCTGAGATTGCCTGTATGCTTATTTAGTTGGTAAGTTTATTTGTGCCTACACATAACTCATTGGATTTCCTTGTGACTCCTCCTAGGGGTAGGGCTCCCTTTCAGCATCCCTGCCCTCCTGCACTCACTGAGCCTCTCATGCTGCGGGCTTTAGTTTGCCCCTGAAGTGACTCACGTTGGACAAATCCCTGAAGCAAAGAAGCAGATCCTGTGGTTTCCTGGAGGCCCTCCATGGCGACTTGAAAAATGTGGCAGTTTTACCTGAAATTAGAAAATGCACTTGTTTAATCAGCCTGTCTTCTTTTTCCTGCTTTCAGGGATATTCCCAGAATACCCGACAGCACACATGCACAGCTGGAGTCCAGTAAGTCTCAATTGTGGGGTAGGAAAAAAACCTTCCTCTTTTATATAAATGTGGATAGTTTGAAATAGCCCCTCACTGAAGTCAATGTAGCCGTTACCTGTTTGTCTCAATGTTACCACCCTGTGTCTATTTATCTCATGTCTTTTGTTTAATAATAAACTATCAGAAGTAGAGATGTGTTAATTGAGGCTTGACATTTTGTTATAAACTTAGACTTCTTTTTTATTGAAAGGAAAAGCATAATGCTAACTAATATGCAAGATCATTAATTTTAATTACCCTTAAACTAAAAATGAGTATGAATTGTTCACTACTTAGAACTAAAGTGGCAGTTACTTTGAAATCAGAACACTCCTGCTTTATCAGGACCATTCTGCACTCTTTAAATAGACTAAACCAATATTCATATRAGAAAAATATCTTTCTCTTTGCCTTAGACCTTATAAAATGGGTTTCAGCTTGGAGGKTTTTTTTTTATCATTGTTTTAGATTTCTTTTGTAGTAGAAGCTATTAATAAATATGGTGTCATAAACTTAATTATAGCAATGTGAAGAAACTCCTACAAWAACTTTTCACTGATGAGCCAAGTCCTAAATAAAATCCCTTACATTTTGTGAGATGTGGAATGTTAATAAGCAGTGCTTTGTACTTTTAATACAGTCCTTTTTCTTAGTCTACATTTTATATGTCAAAACTTGTTCTCTTATAGAACTTCTCACAGGTTAGAAACAAAATGTACAAAATGCTTCATCTGATATAAAGAGTCTTGTAAATATAATGAATCTAATTGTACAATTARTGCACTTCAGAAAACTGAATTCCTTTGGCCACAGGCAGTTTGGATCTTCAATTTATAGACATTATTTGATATTGTTGAGATGATATTTTGCCACTATTATAAATTCGGTAAGCTCTTGATTGCATTTCAGCATCACAAAATTGAGTATCATTATTTGGTGACTTTAAATAGGCATAGTAGCAGTTCTTCCACAATAAACAGCTTTATTGTATGTGTGATTATTTGTGTCTTTTTATTTAAAGAATGTTGTGAAGGATATAACTGGTACTATTTGTGAAAAAAAAATTTGTGATTACAGGTTCCAGTTCATTTGAATCTCAAAAAATGGACCGACCTTCTATTTCAGTGACATCTCCTATGAGTCCTGGCATGTTAAGAGATGTTCCACAGTTCTTGTCTGGACAACTTTCAGTATGTAAACATTTCATTAATATTAATGTTGTGCTTTTTTCAGCATATACAAAATTGTGCAGTGTATGGGCTAGCATTAGAATAAATTTCTTGTTAAATCTTTTTTTTTTTTTTCCTCTTGAAGTTGTTCTGAATACCTCAGGATAGGAAGGGACATAATTCTGTAAGAGCAGTCCATGTATTAGACATATATATCTCTATCTTTTTCTAGTAAGCTATCACATTGGTAGCCAGATGTTCAGAAAGGCCTGATCTTTACTCCCAGTTATATTTATGCTGCTGAGTACTTAAGCTCTTATATCTTTAACACATATAGATTCGGTAGGTTTTATTACTTGTATGATTGGAAAATAAGAGTATTTATTTTTATGCCCTAGTTCTCATATATGTTCTTTTACCAGATACTGCTTTGCCTATTTAGTAGTTTACTACTGTGTTATACTCATGGAGCCAATGTGTCATGTTACTCACGCTTTTCACCTTTACTAAAGTTCATTATATGAAAGTTTTCTCATAATGAATTTTTTTTATACTAAACTGAAGGATTTAGGATTTGTGCACCGTTCTATCTCACTTAGAGCTCCAAAGTGTGATTTTTCCTTGTGGCCTGGTACCTTTTGAAGCTGAGAGGAGAACAAAATGGAAGCCATGCAAAGTTGACATAAAGCACATTTTAAAATGTCACATTTTTATTTATTCCAAGATGTTAATGTTAGCATAATGAGTGGGCTATAAAAATATGCTGGAAGTCTAAGCAGACGGTTTATAGGTCTCACACAAATGGTTTATGGTATCTATAGAAGAGAGGAATAAATATTTTCTGTCTGGTCAGCAGCCACGTCGGCTCCATTTTGCAGCGCATGGACATTATTTGTTTTGCTCATCAGACCAGCCATCTGCAACACATAATTTTGGATTTTGTATAACTGTAGTACTTAAATGCTTTGGAATATGGACTCCTTTGAAAAAAAATAGAATGAAAAGKCATCATGGTAGAGGGCAGAGCACTTTGTGCAATATAAAACGGYATGGGAATATGATCTACCAAAGTACAAACACTGATGTCTGAAAAAAACAAATRCAATTTTACAATATGGCAAAAAAAGTTGATACTGGAAATGATGAAAAAAGAAAACCTATTTTTGTCTAGATCTCCTAAAAGAGTAGGCTATCAACAAGTTTTGACTCAGCTGCCAGGGGGATTCAGTGTTAGCCGCTCAGATGCCCCGTGCGTTGGCCCTGCAGGAGAATGATCCCTAAAGCTGCAGAAGTAGGAGACTGCAGAGAACTGACTCCCTCACTTTCTCCCTTCCGGAAACAAAGCCGTCAGTAGCTCGAGATGAGGCTTGGAGAGCTAACCTATTGTTTCTATTAATTTTGCAATTTGATAAGGTATTACATTTTGGGATGCACAAAAACAGTATTGGGGATTTGGGCGTATGTTTTGATTTACTCAGAATGACAGAATTCAGACAGGTTCACATCTCAGATTTGCAGGTAAATTCAGAGTTTAGCTCAAGAAGGAATCATTCCTATTTTTCATGTGTTTTTTTTTTTTTTTTTTTGTTCCTTTATTTCAAGGTACAGATACCTTAATTAATAAGTTTGTAACATTTCATCCCACCTAAGCAAACCAAATATAAGATGTTTAGAGATTTTCACCACATTTATCCCTTTTTACTCTCTTAAATATTGTATACCTCTGTATACAGTACTCGCTACAATACAATTCCCTTGTTTCCCTCAGTGGGCAGCCGATAGTAACTGCCAGCTCCCATTGCTTGGCACTAACTAAGGTCATGAGTGCTCAGGAACTCTCAAAATTCATGTCCCACTGTCTTAACTTTGGCATCTGCCATTAGCAGGTTCAAAGATTCAGAGAGCTCTAACCTCATCTAGCTCTAACCTCATTTAGCTTTGCTGCTGGGTGCTCAAGGCATGAGGAGGGCGATGCTGGAGGAAGGGTGGCTGTCACGGTGGCAGAAGATGGGGTGGAGAGATCACAGCGTGGCACCCACAAGGAATCCTAGAAAGCCCCCCACAATGAAAGAGGCATTTTTGAAATGTGTAGACTGAATGGACTGAAAAACACTCTTAGAAAAAAATGACTTAAGAGAGAATTGAAGTATTTTGTAGGGTTTTTTTTTCCTGTACAAAATAATAAATATGAACAGTTTCATTTTGGACTGATATTTTAAGTTAGAGTTTTGAAAATSAAAGCCTTTTATTGTTTTCTTCGTGAATTCAGAGTAATAAATAGTTTTTCTTTCAAATTTTTTATTTCTTACTTTATATCTTTTGAGAAGTTTCTCCACTTCAGAAATGTTGAGATGGTTGAGTAAGATGAGTGGATGGAAATGGAAGAAAATTGGGAATTCCTAGTACAAGCGGGAATGTGTTTTTATGGAGAGAGCAGTGGCCRTGCAGGGTGCAGGGAGGTGCTCAGGGCACTGCCAGGAGATGGGGACGAGCTGGTTGGCTCCGTGCTCGGAGCTGCTGGCCGAATCCAGGGAGTGTGAGCAGCTGTGATGGGATGGGCGATAGACAGGATTTCCACAGTGTTTTTGGTGCTTTTCGCTAATATTCTGTAGCCTGATGGGCTGTTGTAAGGGTAGCTGTGTGTAGGAGGCTGAGATACAGCCAAGTTGAGGGCAGAAGTGGAGAAATCTCCAGTTCTGTTGGAGACCTGAAGCGTTTGAATCAGTACTTGTATATGTGCATCCTTATTTAAACAGATCTTTCAAGCTATTTTTATTGGCATTAATTTAGAATGTTTTCTTTATGTTCAATCTTGCTTGATTTTATTCAGTCCAAAAATATACCAGGAAGCATGTATTAAATAAAGACAACGGACAGGATAGATTTTCTGCACGCTCTTTAAGGCACTTTGACAAAAGTATTACTTCAGTTTATCCCACATATACTTCAGGCTATCTCTGGTGGCAGCTCTTCGTGTACTTCTGTATGTGTTGCAAGCTCAAAATAAAATACCTGTGTGCTCAGATAGGTATTTTGGCAAAATTCTTATAACGAATTTTGCATTTTTAGATGTGTAGATCTAAAAGATGTGTAGATAGGAGTTGTGCTTTGGTCTTAGAGAATTAAGAAAAGGTCAATTGAGTACTTACCTGATGGTATTCCTTGACCAAAACATTTGTGATTCAGTATGTAATTTAAAGTTTTCCGTGGCAGATTTTTTTTGGGGGAGTGGGAAGGGTAGGGAGCAAGGGATCCCTAAAAAYGTAAATGAAAGTGAGTAAGCACCCTCATTTTTTAATGATTTTAAAATTAAGGCAATATAAGTAGATATTTAAATCAGAATTTAACCTTCTGTATTTATGTATTTGACTTCTGGGCAAATATAACATTTTTTTTAGAAATGATTTTAGAAAAGGGAATGTGTTTCTAGTGCCTGCTCTGTTGGATTTTGTGTGTTTTAGGCTATAGAACAAAAGTTATTTGACCAGGTTAACTGCAGTGATTTTTCTTTGGATTGGTCAGTCATCTATGTTTTTCTCTGAACTGGGATTACTCTCTGCACGTGTTTTCTTCTGTTGAGGCTACAGTGACACTCCTGCAGTGCCTGATACTGCAGAGCTGAGTAAAGCAAAGCAGCCTGCGGACTTTAGAATAATCTTCTCTCCATGGATTACTRTTTTACCCAAATGTATATTTAATTGAAATAAATACTATGTAGCTACACTAAATTATTGTTTGTTATAATAAACTAAACTTCAGGAATATTGTTACCTGTGTTTAGAGCAGTTTATTTTATGATATTTTTGGTCCGCAGTGTTCTTTGAGTGGAATAATTTTAGTCATTTTTGAACTTACTGTTTTGTTATTATTTACTTTGTCAGGTTCCTGTTTCTGTGGGTTTTTTTTTTCATTGATTTGTTTTTCTTTTGATGACATTTTGAAAAAGTCAGTATTCTTGGTGTGGTGATTCAGATGTGCTTCGTTACTGCATTTGGGCTATTTTTCCAATGCTGTGTGAAAGGTAAAACTTGGAAGGCTTCTGCTGTAGTTAGCCTTAGAGACTGATACCATGACTAGAAGTAATAGTAAATGGGTGCACATATAAAATTCCAATATTTATTTTTTTTTCTGATGGAAATTCTAACAAAGAAAGAGGACATAATGCATAAAATGAAACTATTTGCTTGTACGTCCAAACCACAGAGATATYGGTTTCTTCAATCAATTTTCCATGTGTAGTCAGTTTGTAAAGCAGTAAAATGAAGTTATATTAATTTACATTGAATAATGTAGAGCAAATGATAGGGGACATTGTGCAGTGCAAAGAATATAGGATATCCGCATATCTGGGGGGGAAGAGGAGGCCGAGGGCGAGGCAAGCTTTGCCTTCGTTTTTCTCTTTCCCTGCCCCTTGCCCATTCCCGCCGCCTTCCCTTTCCCGCCTCACTGCCTCGGGACGGGCAGACCCCCAGGCCAGGGTTTGCACAGAGGAGCCAGTGCCCAGGATGTGCTTCTTGCCTCCGTTGCCCCTTGCAGGACGGAGATGTGGGGAATATCTGCATTTGTGTCGAGAGGCAGAGCAGAAGCGGGCCCCACATCTGCCCTCCCTGTGTGGGACTAGGCCGTATCCCGGCACCCTTGCACTGGCCTGGGCAGCTCCCTTGCTCCAGGATCTCCTGGTACCCATAGGCTAAATGTAGCTGCTGAGATCCACAGTGTCATCTGGAGGCTGATGTATTAAATCACAAGCGTTTGGGTTAGAAATGGGTCTTCTTGCGTGCTCTGTCACTCCTAGGGTTGCTCAGTGTTACAGGTTCCATTTCACGCAGGGGTTTTCTGTATATGCCACCACTCATTGCTGTCCTGGTCGCTAGAGATTGGAAATACATTGATTGCACCTTCCCCACTTAGTGCTAATATCGGTTAGCCTTTTCTTTTAATCATTTGTAAAGTCTTTTTTAGGGCTTTCTATTGAAATGTTGCTTAGAAGTTGCAGCTGTGGAAAATCTCGTACTGCTTTC